ATATCGTGTCACTTTGCATCTGATCAAGATTGACAAAACAACCCTACCTGAGTAAATGACAACAGGATGTACACAAATCTAATTTAACCACGTCGAATTCCTATGGCCTACTTCTCCTCCTCCTTCTTCTTCTTTTTTCTTTTTTAATAAAATATTAAATCGACGTAGCCTACATCTCGACATGCTTCTTTCATATTTTAAACCCTTTTTTCAATTATTTCGAGAAAATCAAGTCTCATATCAAACCTTGAATGAATCTAATATAGAACCAAAAGACATTCCTTAATCATGCAGTATTTATTTTCTCCTTCATTTGTGTAATTATATTGTGTTATTAGTATAGTATTTTTTTTTATTTAGTATATTAATTTTATTATGTTAATGTCGGTCACTGTAAAATCAAACACCTTATACACATAATTTCTAATTAGGGTTAAATGCCTCACATCAGGCTACCTATAGTATAGTAACATATCTGACCATACTCTTTATATAGACGAGCTTTTATTTATTATATTTGAATTTATTTATCTTATTTCATTATTATTAATATTGTTATTTTAACAGCAGATTGTCTAGAATACATTCAGGTTGATACAAAAAGATATTCAGCCCATACAGTCGTCATACTGTACACATTCTTTATAATCATCATCACTATTATTTAAATTATTATTCTTTTGAGTAACTGATTATACTCCAGTCCGTTTTAGACACTCTAAAACATTTACATCAAGATTAAAGGCCTTGTTGCACATTGCAACACTTGAACAAAATTTTTTCTAAATCTCAAATCAGTGGAAATATAGATTGTGGTGGTTAATCTTAAAGAAGTGCCTTGTGTGTAGTAGTATATTTGTGATTGTAGGCCTACATTTATCGCGATGATGGTAGGCTACTAGAAGAGTTTATCACTCCAAGGGTAAGGGTATGATGTTGATCCTGAATAAGGTCCTAAACTCAACATAATCAATTAACGCACAATAGAATGGATACAACGTAGCTATCTGTATATGAATATCCCCGTTACTCCCCCCGACTCCCCAAAATACAGTGCACGTCCTCACCAACCACACCACAAACTATGGATTTGGGCCAAGCCAACGCTCTAAGATAAACCGGAAGAAAGAGGGCCTGCGGTTCCAGGCGCCCGGCTCCATTCACAAGCGAAACCTCCAATGGCTTCATTAGAAGTAACGAGTTGACACAAGGTAAATCTAACACTGAAGCGCCATTCACTTGGTACGCAGAGAACCCTCATTAAATGTCGCTAACAAGCCGTGCAAATGCAGTGATTGGACAGCTCCCGTATAACTCCGCAGACCTAGCAGGATGCCCACTTAATGAGACCACACAAAAAAGGGAGGGAGGGGGAGGGGTGGAGGGGGGCATCTCTGTTGAAAATGGTGCTCGCATTTCGCCTCCTGTTTCCCTCCCCCAGTCAAAAAAAAAAGGGGGGGGGGCATCAATCTAACTTATCATTAAGGTTGCAGGAACTCATAACTAATGACTAAAATAATTATTACTATATCCAATGCACGTAAATTATTTAAAAAAATAATAATGCTCAAATCAGTTAGCCATAGAGAAATTCATAGAGTGATTTCGATGATCGGCATATAACAAAATTATAAAATGACCAAATTTCCTTTTTCAAATAACACATCTCAAACATTTGTCACTCTAAACTTTTTTTTTTCTTAATATTCTTCATTCTGAATGGTATCTTGCCTACCTACATAATTAGGTGTGACATCATATAGGCAGAAGTAATAAAACGCATCCATTGTGCTACCTACATTTAACAAGCCAAGCAGATTCAAAATACAGCCGAGGTTAAGACCCTGAGCAGAGCGAATAGAAAGGGGCATTTGCGCCCCGTTACGACGGCCCCACAACGCTGCAAGCTGCACTTGTTTCGCTTGATTCACGGAGTGGAGAGCAACGTCCCGGCAGAGGATGACAACATCACAAGCGGGATTCTGGGAATATGCATGGCTCTGAGTGGTACTGAACGATGTTTTTTTGATTATTCTACCGCATTCGCTTTATAATCTGCATCTTGGTGTCTTTTACGAAGCCCAAAACACTCGACCAACTCTCTGGTGAGTCTCTTGGAACAATTAGCTCTTTTAAAAATAAGTAATATGATTCAAACTCACATGATGCAAAGATGTCCACTTTTGTGCAAGCAACACAGAACTCATAGCCACATTTAAATCAAGTCCATTTTGGATGGTACTGTTGCAGTATAGCACTAGAAAACAGCCTATATCAGCCTATTTATAACTAGATGAAACCAGGAAAAATAGCGCAAAACACAGACGAAAGAGACGTGACATAAAAGAAAAAAAGAGTGAGCAATTAATCAAAATCGATGGAACCACGTCAAATTTTACAACCCATTAGTTAGTTTAAGAAAAGAGAAAAACAGAAAGACTCAAACCACACTGCTTCCGAGAAGAGGTCTCTTGATAGAACTATGTTTCTGCAGCCGTCACCTGAAGATCGATTTCCTGTTTGGCAATGTGTAATGACCTAAGTGGATGTAAAAAAAATAAAAATAAAATAAAAACAGAATAAATGTTTAAAATGAAATAAACCCTTTAACCGGAGAAGGCATTGTCCCGTGCCCTTTCCTACTCAAACACTTGCAGGTCCCTGACTCACCACACAATGCACAAAATTACTCATGCATGTTAACCGCATAGTTGCCAACATTGGTGAGAGTATGGGAGGACACATTTTCGTGTGATAAGAAGTGAGCGTAAGTTTGAATAGAGAGAGCAAATAAATGGTTTGCTTACCTTCTCATACGACCAAACTCTTCTCAATGATCTCTGGCATGCTGACGACACTTGTCTTTATTTAAGCTATATGGCTGTCAGAGCTCCTCAGAGAGTGAACGCCGAAATTACGTGTTAAGTTTCAAACCCCTGATGTCACTTCACTCAAAAATACTGAAACTATTATAGAAACACAGGCTTAAATAATATTATGTCCTGCGAAATAATCCACTGTCTATTGCATTCTTATTTCATAGTCCTCGTCAGTAAATAAACAAAGACGGAGCTAAACATTCATCAGTATTGAAGACCTTGCCTCCTGCTGATTTTGGCACAGAACAGAGCAATGAAAGCTAGGGGATAAACAGACGATTAAACCAGGTGAATGGACTTATTTGGGGATGCTAATGACTTGCTTAACGAAAACAAAGGCTATGTTAAACAAAGTGAATTTGCACAACTTGCCACGTTTTTTCTGTTTTAAGCCATTTCCACTATTACGTGCGAGTACTTTTTGCAAATCATCTTTTAACCGTGACATGCAAACACTGATGTCACCAAAATGTATGCATTAAGCATGTTAGAGAGCAAGGCCTTTATCGTATGCCAGAATAAAGAGCTTTTCTAAATGTAAAAAAGCTTGACCAAATGATTTTAAAATACGGTCAACAATGAAATAACAGGTTATTTCCAGTCCAAAAATATTTCCAAAGGAACCACTTCAAGTGCCTCTTGGAATTACTTCACTTAAATTTCCTGAGACAGGAGAACAAGCAGATTTGATCCTGGTGACACAACATGACCCAATACATCTATTAAGATCTCTTCCCCGCCCCTCATTTTGCTAAGCACACGCGAGCTTGCACTACATTTAGCTATATGTAAATCTTATAATAATAATAAAGTAACCGGAGTAGGAAATAAAAAAAGTTAATACAAATAAATTGTATTATCCCATTTGCATGAATAATAATTTGAAAAGATGGAATTGAATATCTGAAAGAGACATACGAGTTCTGAATCGCTGAACATTTCTGGAAAATGCATTAAATTATTTCAGCATTAGCTTAGTGAAAGTCTGGATGCTGCGTCTCATTATGCCTCCTGGACTCGTACATTTTTGACACAAGCACTGTCTAAATATAGGCTAACGCAGCACAAACTCTTTGATGCAGACCAAGAAACCCAAACCAACACGCCATTGGAAGCCGAATCTCGTGACATAACGATGTCTTTCATTCTCGTGAAACGGGCTTTCTAATTTTAACGACCTGCAGTCGTGCACAATATTGGTATATAGCCTATCTGTAACTGAAAAAAGAGAAAAGTTTGTTTAAATGAAATAAAATATGCATCAGTGATCACGTGCTTTCCTCAATATGCATGGGCAATGGGCCAGTGTTCGGTCTCTGAGCATAGTAAAGCATCAGCGGAGCAACAGAGATGCGCGTCCACTATAAACGGTTGTCTCTGTGTGCGAGTAGCAGTCAATTCGTACCGAAATGCGAACTAAGTTAAAAAACGATCCTGGAGTTTTCAGCGTATACACAGCGAACAAAATTATCTTTTTAAATATAAAATTCAATAGGCTACTTGTTTTTACGGCTAGCCTACTGTATTTATAGGTTAAGAGTGCCGGCGCAACATCGTATCTTCTCCAGCTTCATACGAGGCTAACGAATGAAATAGCCTATCTGTGTATCCTGTCGCAGATTCCGTTTTAGCGCTTCATTTAAATCCCCGTGTCCGTGACTGTCATCCCGAGACCCCACCCCTGCCTTCTCTCCCTACATATCTTCTTAACTTTAACGAGCCTCGTTAAGATCACAATAATATTCCACCCACTAATTGCTCATTCCATTCAACAAATAGGCGAGACTCTGCTTCGACTTCACGCGAGTCAAGGGAGGGAGGGTGCTGTTGAGACTGGAGTTCCTGATAACCCCCCGTGCGTGCAGCAGAAGTGGTGAAAGCCTCTACGTACTGGCTAATGATTGGCACGCTTGACAGTGATTGGCAGGGCTGCCATGACAACCCTACAACGACACCAAGAAGACCAATAGAAAAGCGAAACAAAATATTTCAATGCTACACTCACGGTGGATTTAGGGGGAGATATTATGAGGCTGGTGTCATTAGGCGATAGCTATTGAATCATTCAATCTGAATTCGTCGTTCTTTTTTTCCTTCGCAAATTTAATTCTCGCTCAGGTCATTTCCATGGTGTTCAGATCGCCTTTAGAGCTTTATCCCTCTCATTTCTTCCTGCCAAACTTTGCTGATCGCCCTTTGCTCTTGGCGAGGAGTGCGCCCAGCACCAGGTCTCCCGAAGACTTGTCAATGTTTCAGCTACCGACCCTAAACTTCTCTCCGGAGCAAGTGGCCAGCGTCTGCGAGACGCTGGAGGAGACCGGGGACATAGAGCGTCTGGGTCGCTTCCTATGGTCGCTTCCAGTGGCACCGGGTGCTTGCGAGGCGATCAACAAGCATGAATCCATCCTACGTGCCCGGGCTGTGGTTGCCTTTCACACGGGCAATTTTCGTGATCTCTATCACATTCTGGAGAACCACAAATTTACCAAGGACTCGCATGGTAAACTACAAGCGATGTGGCTTGAAGCTCACTATCAGGAGGCCGAGAAATTACGCGGGCGTCCCCTAGGACCGGTTGATAAGTACAGGGTGCGAAAGAAGTTTCCCCTGCCTAGAACCATCTGGGACGGTGAGCAGAAGACGCATTGTTTCAAAGAGCGGACGCGAGGTCTGTTACGGGAGTGGTACCTTCAGGACCCCTACCCAAACCCCAGCAAGAAAAGGGAACTGGCTCAAGCCACTGGACTCACTCCTACACAGGTCGGAAATTGGTTTAAAAACCGGAGACAACGAGACAGGGCAGCGGCAGCAAAAAACAGGTCAGTCACGTTAGGCATGTTTAACTTTCCTTGGAAATTTGCGTTTTAAGTGTTTAATCATTACTACCATTATTTTATTATTTTATAAATGAAAAGTTGTGAAATATGTGAACACGATTTAGGAAGTACTGCAGTAAAAACAGAATCAAATGTTAGAGACGAGGGAGGGAGAACGACGACATTTTATTTGTCATGTGTAAGATGTTTTGAAAGCCTCAACCAGAATATAAAAGCAAGTAGATAAAACATACCTGTATCAATTTTATTAACATGTGAAAAAATTATGCAAAGGAAAAGATCCCCCTTATTCATCGACGAAACCTGAAATAGCAAAAACAACATGTAATCAAATGTGTATATTCTTCACAGCAAAGCTATTGTATGACAAAAATGTAGCATTTTTTATCGTTTTTAACATATTAAGTATTTAAATCTTAATTTAACAGTTCCAATGTTTAGATACTAGCAATAACAATACAAATATGGATAGGCTACGTCTAAAAATAGCATTAATAGCATTTCTCTGTTGCTATATTTGGAAAAGTAAAATCTATCCAAATCGTCTATATTCAAAGTAATTATAGAGAGTTTATCACAAACATTCTTAGACAGTTACTTTTGCAACATGACATTGTAAATACAAATAGTTGTAAACCTATTCTGCGGACACTCATGCATTGAGAAATATAGACTACAAATTAATGTTTGGTATATCTGACATCTTGCAAATTATTAGGCTTTGTTTCACTCCCAGTGTACTTCGTAATTATATTACAGATAACATGGCGTAAATTAGTTAGAGTGAGAGTTGTTTCTGGTGATTTAGTCAAATTATTTTTCCTCCTAAACGCTAAATATTACTGTGCGTCTAGGGAATGAGAAAGCAGCAGAAACGAAGCACACACTTTGACTGGTGTACGTGATTTATATTATTTAAGGGATAAATCTGCAAATTGGACTCGACTGGATGATTACAAATCGTTAAACAGAACTATGACGTTCTGGTCATGCAGCATACTAAAACTGACATCTTTAACTAATCACACCTAATTTGAACATATAAACATACACATGAATACAATAACTAATTCTATCAATACTAGATATCATGAGAAGTCTATCAAATTTCGAGGATAAATATGATAATATGTTGGTATAGACTTAATCCTGTAGCGGCCATGCTTTATGTAATCGTTTTCCACAAAAACAACAGCTGTAGTATTTATTTTACCATGTAAGCAAATGTTGTTTTTCATCTATCTATCTCAGGTATTTTTATCTATATCGTTTTAAAGAACTATGTTAATATAGCCTAGCATAATAATTAGCTACGTGAAAATGGAGGCGCGTTTTTCAGTGAAAATGGCCTAAGTCTTTTATATCTAACGGCATACTGTTCTCTCACTTTTCTGCTATAGGCTCCAGCATCAAGCAATAGGGCAGAATGGCATGCGGTCCCTTTCAGAATCCGGCGGCACCCCACGCAGTTCGGCGGAGTCGCCATCAACTGCAGCTAGTCCAACGACCAGTGTCTCGAGTATGACAGAGCGAGTCGACACGGGCACGTCAATTCTTTCAGTAACATCAAGTGACTCGGAATGCGACGTATGATACGCAAAAGAGAAATATATACAGGAAAAAGGACCTGAATAAACTTTATTAATTATCGGGGAAGATGAAAAAGGACCAATTGATATTACTATTATAAAAAGAAAAACATAAAAGCACGTCTTTTTTCAAGCGCTTTCAATGGACCCCACACCTTTCCCCACCCCATCACTTGCATGATTATATATATCTAAATATATATTTTTTTTTCTTTTTTGTATATGGGGAAATGCCCCACGTTTATGTCTACCAGGACCACCGTGAAGAGGGAATTACCAGGAACCGGTGTCCATCGCCTTTTTTTCTGTTTTAGTCCGTGTCCGTGACTGTCATCCCGAGACCCCACCCCTGCCTTCTCTCCCTACATATCTTCTTAACTTTAACGAGCCTCGTTAAGATCACAATAATATTCCACCCACTAATTGCTCATTCCATTCAACAAATAGGCGAGACTCTGCTTCGACTTCACGCGAGTCAAGGGAGGGAGGGTGCTGTTGAGATTGGAGTTCCCGATAACCCCCCCGTGCGTGCAGCCGAAGTGGTGAAAGCCTCTACGTACTGGCTAATGATTGGCACGCTTGACAGTGATTGGCAGGGCTGCCATGACAACCCTACAACGACACCAAGAAGACCAATAGAAAAGCGAAACATCAATGCTAAATGCTACACTCACGGTGGATTTAGGGGGAGATATTATGAGGCTGGTGTCATTAGGCGATGAATCATTCATTATGAGGCTGGTGTCATTAGGCGATAGCTATTGAATCATTCAATCCGAATTCGTCGTTCTTTTTTTCCTTCGCAAATTTAATTCTCGCTCAGGTCATTTCCATGGTGTTCAGATCGCCTTTAGAGCTTTATCCCTCTCATTTCTTCCTGCCAAACTTTGCTGATCGCCCTTTGCTCTTGGCGAGCAGTGCGCCCAGCACCAGGTCTCCCGAAGACTTGTCAATGTTTCAGCTACCGACCCTAAACTTCTCTCCGGAGCAAGTGGCCAGCGTCTGCGAGACGCTGGAGGAGACCGGGGACATAGAGCGTCTGGGTCGCTTCCTATGGTCGCTTCCAGTGGCACCGGGTGCTTGCGAGGCGATCAACAAGCATGAATCCATCCTACGTGCCCGGGCTGTGGTTGCCTTTCACACGGGCAATTTTCGTGATCTCTATCACATTCTGGAGAACCACAAATTTACCAAGGACTCGCATGGTAAACTACAAGCGATGTGGCTTGAAGCTCACTATCAGGAGGCCGAGAAATTACGCGGGCGTCCCCTAGGACCGGTTGATAAGTACAGGGTGCGAAAGAAGTTTCCCCTGCCTAGAACCATCTGGGACGGTGAGCAGAAGACGCATTGTTTCAAAGAGCGGACGCGAGGTCTGTTACGGGAGTGGTACCTTCAGGACCCCTACCCAAACCCCAGCAAGAAAAGGGAACTGGCTCAAGCCACTGGACTCACTCCTACACAGGTCGGAAATTGGTTTAAAAACCGGAGACAACGAGATAGGGCAGCGGCAGCAAAAAACAGGTCAGTCACGTTGTGTATGTTTAACTTTCAATGGAAATGTTCGCTTTAAGTGTTTTATCATTAGTACTAAATATATACTGATAAATGAATTGTTGTGAAATATGTGAACACAAGGTAGAAAGTACTGCAGTAAAAACAGAATCAAATAGATTTTAGAGACGAGGGAGCGAGAACGACGACATTTTATTTGTGCCATGTGTAAGTTGTTTAGAAAGTATCAACCAGAATATAAAAGCAAGTAGATAAAACATACCTGTATCATTTTTATTAACGTGTGAAAAAAGGGATGCAAATAGAAAAGGTTCTCCTGATTCATTGATTAAATCTGAAATAGCAAAAAGAACATGTAATCAAATGTGTATGCTTCACAGCAAAGCTATTGTGTTCTGTTTACACGGTTACAAAATCTAGTATTTTTATCGTATTTACACATCAAGTATTTAAACCTTAATTTAGCAGTCATTCTAACTGATGGATATAGCGATAATACAAAATATGAATAAAGTCTAAAAAGTAATGTAAGTAGGCCTATAGCATTTCTCTGTTGCTATATTTGGAAAAGTAAAATCTACCGAAATTAACTGTCTATTCAAAGTAATTCTAGTTTATCACTAACATTCTTAGACATTTTTACAACATGACGTTGTAAATACAGATAGTTGTAAACTACTGTGCGGACAAACATGCATTGAGAAATAAATCATTATAGGCTACAAATTATTGTAAGGGTTAGTGTTTGCTATATTTGACATCTTGCAAATTATTAGGCTAATTGTTTCACTTCCCAGTGTACTTCGTAATTATATTACAGATAACACGGCGTAAATTTGTTAGTGAGTGGTGTTTCAGATGTTGTCAAATTATTTTTCCTCCTAAACGCTAAGTGCTACTGTGTCTAGGGAATGAGAAAACACTTTGACTGGTGTAACTGTTTATATTATTTAATGGATAAATCTACAAATTGCACTTGACTGGATGATTACAAATCGGTAAACAAACAAGAACTATGACATTTTGGTGACGCAGCATACTAAAACTGACATCTTTAACTAATGACATTTGAACATATAAAAATACAAATAAATACAATAGCTAATTGTATCATTACTAGATATCATGAGAAGTCAATCAACTCTCGACGATAAACATATGGTAATATTTTGGAATGTAGACTTAATCATGTAGCCGCAAAGCTTTATGTAATCGTATGTAAAATAAATAAATAAACAGCTGTAGCATTTATTTTACTATGTAACCAAATGTTATTTTTATCTATTGTATTTATATTAGATATTTTTACCTATATCGTTTTAAAGAACTATGTTTAAAATAGCATAATAATTACGTGAAAATGGAGGCGCGTTTTTCAGTGAACATGGCCTACGACTTTTATTCTCTAACAGCATACCGCTCTCTTACTTTTCTGCTATAGGCTCCAGCATCAAGCAATAGGGCAGAATGGCATGCGGTCCCTTTCAGAATCCGGCTGCACCCCACGCAGTTCGGCGGAGTCGCCATCAACTGCGGCTAGTCCAACGACCAGTGTCTCGAGTATGACAGAGCGAGTCGACAAGGGCACGTCAATTCTTTCAGTAACGTCAAGTGACTCGGAATGCGACGTATGATACACAAAAGAGAAATATATACAGGGAAAAGGACCTGAATAAACTTTATTAATGATCGGGGAAGATGAAAAAGGACCAATTGATATTACTATTATAAAAAGAAAAACAAAAGCACGCCTTTTTTTCAAGCGCTTTCATTGGACCCCACACCTTCCCCCACCCCATCACTTGCATGATATATATACATATATATATATCTATATATATATATATTTTCTTTTTATATATGGGGAAATGCCCCACGTTTATTATGTCTACCAGGACCGCCGTGAAGAGGGAATTACCAGAAACCGGTGTCCATCAACTTTTTTCTGTTTTAGTCCGAGTGACGACGAGCAGCCAGGATGCAATCCTCTTTTCCTTTATGTTCATCAGACAATCATTTGAGTCGTAAGCACCTTTTTACTACACTTCTGTCACTGCCTGTGTGGGGTACTGGTCAAATGTGGAACTGAATCGTTATGACTGTAAGATTTTTATTTTTATTTCCAGATTTTATATTGAATTATGTATATCTTAAATAATGCGATCATTCTCCCAGTCTGTAATATATGTGTAGAAATAAGTGTAAATAATATTGCTATACCCATTCTCTTTTATATCCCTGTTCACTTTTCTTGGCATGGTGTCCCTACATAAACTATTCGTCAAAACGTAACTATTAAGTGCTCTAGGCGTTTTGTTTCTCTGTTTTATGCCATGAAAAGAACGCTAGTGACCATGAATTATCAATCGAGATTAATGCAAAAGACAAAATATTGGATATCATCATCGACTGACCAAGTCTATTTCATGTTTCCAGTCCAGCGCTTATAATTCAATGTTACTTTCTTGCGTGTTTCTGTTAATGTATACGTTTCTAAACTGAAAATACAGTATTCAATTTTGTTATAAAACTGTATTATGTGTGTCATTTCCACAAAAAAAAAAAAAATCTAATTTCCACACAACAACATTCAAAAAGTTTTCTCCCCAGTTTGGAGAGCATTAAATAAGTGGATCACTAGTGTAACATATGCACCAAAATTCTTTATCAAACAATTTGTAGTACAGAAACGTTTTTAAACAAAATTCGCTGTGACGGTGAACATTCGTATTCTTTTTTTGTTAATAGCCAGTGGCTAAGGTACACAATGCAAAACTTAAGTGAAGGCACCATTAAATTGGTTAATCATGGAGGACTCCTCCCCTGGCCCAGTGTCCCGTTGTAGTCAACGAAACGGCGTTTCTTTCCAAATTTAGCTATGCTAGAAGAAAGCTCCCTCTGGGCGAGTAACCCTAACTCGCATGCACAAACAGAAACCCGTACTTGATATAGAAGTTTTGTTTGTTTGATTTTTTTCAGCGCACTTTAACAAACACAAACAGTTTATTGACGTAAAATATATTATGGGTAAAGGTTATCCTATGAATGGAGAATACCTATTTACTCAACAATATAATGTTGGAAGTCTACAGAACATGAAGCTGACTCGTTCGTGCGTCTCCGATTTTGCTCACTTCTAATTTAGTTGCCAAAAATAGAGGAAAGGCTTGAAGATGTGACAAATAGCTTAATCAACTTGTTTAATTTGTCGATGTAACGAAGATTATTATTAAAGAGGAGTTTAGATATTTGTAACCAGATATATGACTAAATCCTTTTTAATTAAAAACTCCCTTGTTTTATAAGAGCAACCATACATTGTTTATATAGCTATTTAGTTTGCCCATTGTGATCTCTCTCCATTCATGTGTATCAGTTTTACGACAGATAACTTAAAGGCTAGACGAAACTTTTAACTCTCACAACCGGCAATGCTAAATAAGACTGCGTTTATTATTTATTATTTCTCTCACGTTCATAATTCTAGGCTATAGGGTGCATTGTGTATGTCTTGTACGTCCTCTCAAGTCTGAATCTCCGCGATCATAAGGGAATACCCATTGATCCTAATGACACTTGATTAAATGCGCTAAAATAAAGAACCATTTCATTTGTATTCATTGGTAGTTGATCGCGAGGGACTACTTTTTACCTCTCAAGTTCATCTGCAGTGCCCAGATATGGACTATCACTGGCTGATGGAGTTCTCCAATCACTTCACACTGATCTTTATCAATCTATCCTCTCAGACTACATTTATCGGCAGATATTTGTCTCAACTATGTT